TGGCAAAGTCCTGTGTTAGGCAATGCTAGAATTCAAGTAAGTGACTGGGAAGAGTTTATTTCCTTCTTCTATTCTGTCTGCTCCTCGATTTTCTTCTTCCATATCAATCCATTCTATTCTCTTTTTGATAATCCAAGTTTTTCTCTATTATCACTTTTCAGCATTGGGGTATTGAAAACCCCAATGAAAATTTTTTATTTTTTAGATGTTTCCTTAGAGCAGATGAGGTTTCATTTTTTCACCACTGCCTCTCCCCACACAAAGCCCCCACTACACACATGCATACTTCCCAATCCTCCAAATTTCTAATCTAGTTATAATTTAGGTTACATCGATATTCATGGCTTACATTATTGCAACTGGGCAAATGCTAGTTATAGCTCAGTGATGTTGCATATTTTGTTTATTTTGAATTTTCAAGTTTTGTTATACTTGGGGTTAATAATTGTCTTTTTTTTTTGGTACTATAGTTTTCAATGAAAACCCTAAAGTCTTCAACAACTGTCAATCTCCTCTGACTATGTTTATACACTTCAAGAATTCTATTTAAGATAGAAGTAATTAAATCCTGAGACTTCTGACCTACTCCGAGTTCTTCTTTCACTAGCAACCTGAAGAAACTTTATCCATCTGTCATGTACAAGATCACTTGTCTTCCATATTCTATATTTTCTCTTCATCTTAATTTAATCTCTCGTTTTGATGGCATGCAATCTCCAGTAGCTACCTCAGATAGGGTATAAAGAAAATAATTTTTTATTTTGAGATCTCTCATACCTAAGAATGAATTTAAGCACCATGTTTGGTTGATAGTTTCACTGGGTATAAAATTCTGCATTAGAAATTATTTCCCATCAGGCATTGCTCCATTGCCTTCTGGCTCCTGGTGCTACACCCATTTGGTGGGATTCCTGTGTTTTCTTGGTGCCTGGACCCAAGAAGCTGAGTACTATTGGAGAAAAGTCACAGGACAAGCAGGCCGATCCCTTTATAAACTTATGATTATCAACATCAACTGGACTCTCAACCGTGCCAATTCACCCTTTTATAGATGCAAAAGGATATTTTAAAACCTCTCCAAAACCAAACAACCAAACAAAAACACCCCTCTTGACTTCCCTGAAACCTCTGATAGCTCTCCTTCCCCCATACTCTTAGCAGATAACCTTGATTTTTACACTTTTGGGAAAATAAAAGCCATCTGATGGGAATTCCCTTGTATTCTAGAAATGAAACCTACAAACTGATCTACATTTGTACCCATCTTTTTTATCTTCTGATAAGCTGTTCCTCCTCTACTTGTATCTTGAAATCTATTCTCTTCATACTCTCAAAGCTGTATAATATCAATTCTTCTTTTTTTGAATACTCAATTTCTGTCAACTGGATTGTTTACAGTCATTTCAAAACATGCTCAAACCTCAAAAACCATTAAATCCATTATCCATCCTACCAATTAACCAAAATCACCAACAAGCAACAAATAGCCCTCCATCTGCCAACATTATCCTTAACTATTGCTTCTTCCTACCCTTCTCCAAAGAGTTGTTTCCACTCCTCATTTCATCAGCTATATTTACTCCTCAACCATTCCATTATGGCTTTCTTGCTTAGGTCCCAGTGACTTTCATAAAAAACAATGCTCACTGCCCTTATTGTACAAATATCACATTTTTTTGTACAATTTTTCAAAACCCCATTTTTCCTAGGCTTACAAGACACAACTTTTTTTTTCATTCTTCTCTCACTGCTGCTTCTATCTCCGTTTATATTATGCTGTCCTCTACTTGACTACTACATGTCAGACATTTTAACAGGCCCTCTCCTTGGTTCTTTTTTCTTCTAATTCTCTTCCCTTTCCCTAGACAGTCCTAGCCATATCTATTGTAAGAATTATCACCTATAAATAAATAAATAACACATCTTTATCTCTACCCAGGATTTCTTTACTGAACTCCATACCCATATGTCCAATTGCTTACCTGAAATCTCTTCTTGGCGGTCTCAATCACACCTCATACTCAATATACCCAATTCAACTTCACGATCTTTCCTCCAATGTAATTCTCTTCTAGTGTTCCCTATTTCAGTTTATGACACCTATCTCTCTTGAGTGATGTTAGCCATAATCCTAGAGAAATTCCTGACATTTCCCTTCCTATCATCCCATATCCAATCCATCACTGATCTAGTTAGTGACACTTATCATCTAAATATTTCTCAAATCCTCTCATGTCTCTCCATCTTCACCTCATAGGTAAGCTACCAGCATCTATTTTCTAAACTTCCTTTATAGTCTCTTAATTGATCCAACTATTTCCAATCTTGTCCCTCAATTTGTTGTCTACTCTATAGCCACAGGCATCTTTTAAAAATGCAAGTCTAAGTACATCATCCTTTACTTAATGACTTCCTTGAGTTCTAAAGATAAAGACAAATACTCCTTAATTTGGCCTGAAGTGCTTACATGCTCCTCTTACTTACATCTCCTGTCTCAGTTAGCGCTCTCTAATTCCTTGGTTTTTATTTTATTTTTTTAGTACCAGCTATGCTGGCCTTTTAGTTCCTCCAATGGAGGAATGCATGTTACCTCCTCCTGCCATAGGGTCTTTGCTTGTGTTAATCTTGCAGGGAGTCAATATAGTTTCTGGCTAAACATAAAGCACCTGAAGTCTAATTTTCAAGAAGAGACTGCCTGGGTTCAAATTCTGATTCTACAACTTGTTTGGTTATGCAACGTTGTGCAAAGTCATTTTACCTCCTGTGCCTCAGTTTCCTCAACTATAAAAGGAGGACAGTTGTAGTATCTATTAATACCTTTAGGGATGTTATGATCAAGTGATCATTTGTAGGGATGGTTCTTCCCTCCCTTTTCTTGCCTTGTTGATTTCTTCTCAAACTTCTGGTCTGAGCTACAGAGTCACTTCTTTTGAGAAGCCTTGACTGACCTCTCTGAGTGAATCCAATTACTCTGTTATAGGTTTTCCCATCTTTTGAGTCTCTTATTTGTAATGCTTACTGTAGGCACAATTTTATATTTATCTGAGAGACATTTATTTTTTGGTCAATATTCTGTCTTTCTCACTAGAATGTCAGCTCCAGGAGCACAGGGATTGTGTCCATCTCTGTTCACTATTCCTTGGGGCTAACACAGTGCCCAGCACATAGTAGGGTCCCAACAAATATCTGTTGACAGAAAAAATGGTAAACATTCCTGAAACTAGTGCCTTGTCCAGTAATTAAAACAGTAATCAACAAGTTCAGAGAAGGAATACGTGGTGGTGCTCTGAGAAGTTAAGCTGTGCAGATGCTCGCAGGTCTTCAGGAGGCGACTCTGAGTGGGAGGGTTCTCTGCTCAACAAGGCAGGATTTTGTGGAGATTCTGTATCAGATAAACTGACCTGGAGTCTGACTCCTGCCTCTATTATCTGCTGCTGTGTGACCTTAGTCATGTCACTTGACTTCCCACAGTCTCAGTTTCCTCATCTGTAAATGGCACCCCAGTACCTACCACAGAGGCAATTCCTGTTACCTAGGCAGCTCTACCTATACGAATTTCAATTTACCTTAAACGCATTTCATGATTATCCACAGGCCCGTGCCAATGATATGGTTTGTTCCACATGTAAGCCAGGAAGCCTTCCTCTGTGGAGCAGTGACAAACTGCTATCTCCATTGTCCTTCCCTCTGAGTAAAAAAAAAATCTTTGTGGTTTTGGTCATAAAACAAAACAGGGTATGAATCCATGTGAACTGGGAAAATCGTGTTCCCATGGCACACCCTGTACAAGAAAGTCTCCTTTTCCCTGGTGCTTCATATCCAAGTTGACAGAGGCAATGGGTGGGCTGGCCCTGGGCAGTTAGGCTCAAAGGTTACTGGTCGTTATCTGTGACAGACTGACCTTGAGAACAGAGAAGAGCCCTCAGACCCTGACAAGAGAGCCCTGCCCACATGCCAGCTGGATCCGGCTAACCACCAGTGCAATTTTCCAGCTTCTTTTTAAAAACCCGTTGAGTCCATGCCTTGAGAATCCCAAAGAAAATGATTCCTTCCTCACTCCATTCAAGAAACACATCTTCTCTCAGAATAAAATAAGTAAGCCTCTTGTCCACCTCCTGTGCAGCTGGCCACTTTGCTGGGATGAGAGGCGGGGTCTGGGTTTGAACCTTTAGTGGAGGAATAAACTACACGTAGGCCAAGTCCACGGTGGTGTCTGTGACGCACATTATTTCTTCCCCGAGCCTTCCCTTACGTTCAAACTTGTAGGAGTGACTGGGGCTGGGAGTTTTAGGATGTAGCGTGTACGTAAATGGAAGCGGAATTGTGTATGCACTTTGCGTGCGTTCGGGAGTATGCCGCGCTTGAACTTGGCGTGTGGCTGTTTGGAGGGGGATTATGAGAGTTATGTGGGGGGACGGGATTTGTAAGTCTAAGTGCGGGAAAGTGGAGTATGTATGTGTGTGAGGAATCATGTGTGCACTTCGTGTGCGTGCAGGAGTGTCTGTGTTTGGAAAGCTAGGGAAGTACATGTGTGGACAGGATTTATACGTGTGAGTGCAGAAAGTGGGAGTGTGTGTGTGCGCGCGCGAGTGTGTGTGAGCGCCAGGGGCCGCCCGCCCGCCGCGGCTCCCCGTGGACCGGCCGGGCCAATGAGCGCGCTGCTGCAGGGGCGGCGGGCGGGGAGGGGGCGCCGGGCCCTGCGGATGGAGGCGCGGGCGGCGCGGCGCGCTCATTCCGCGCGGGCGTTGCTGGCGGGGGGCGGCGCAGCCACTGGCCCAGGACCCGGGCTGCGACCCGGGGCGGCGGGCGGCGTGGGCGGCGCCCGGGGCTGGGATGCGCCGGGGGCTCCGTGGCGGCGGCGTTGGCGGTGCCGTCGGCGGCTGCGGGGGGACGAGCTAGCGCCGCGGCGCGCGGAGCCAGTCGAGCCCGGCCGGCGAGCGGAGTCGGCGGCGCAGGCAGAGCGGCAGCGGCAGCCGGAGCCCGGGCGCTGCGCGCCCACCATGGCCGCCCAGGGCGAGCCCGGCTACCTGGCGGCGCAGTCCGACCCCGGCTCCAACAGCGAGCGCAGCACCGACTCGCCCATGCCTGGCTCCGAGGACGATCTGGTCGCCGCGGCGTCCCTGCACAGCCCCGAGTGGAGTGAGGAGCGCTTCCGCGTGGACAGGAAGAAACTTGAGGCCATGTTACAAGGTAGGCATCCCCCGCGTTCTCGGGCTCCCCGACTCAGCCTCCAACTCCTTCCGGACATCCCCGGCCCACAGCCGATTTAGCTCCCCGGTCCCCTTCCCTGCGGAGCTGGAGGACACCCAGGGAACGGAGACCTCGCGGGACACCCCCCCTTCCACGCCTCTCAGGTCTTTAGGCACCGGGGGCCCTGTGCTAACTTGATCGTCTTCAGAAAAGCCGAAGGCCAAGTTTGTGGTGGCTCGCCCAAGTTACGTCCTAGACTTTGGAGATGCCAACTTTAGCCAGGACACCTGGGCAGTGCCATACGGACCCTCTCAGATTGCACGGAGCATGCGTGACTCTCTCCCCACTGCCTGGCAGCCCCGAATTCTAGCTCTGTTTCTGTCCGTTTCACTCTCTCCGCTTGTCAGTATCCACTTCCTCCAGCTGAGGGGCCTGGTCTGGCTATTGGGAAACGCTCTGCAGATGTCAAGACTAAAGACGGGAGCTCCTGCCCCCGACCCCCACCCTGTGGTCCGAGGGGCCAGGATTGGGGTTAGCAGCCCAAGCGTGGCGATTGTGTCGGGGCAGTGCTGCTGTGTTGAGGACAGTGTGTGTTCATTCCCTGACAGGCTTATAAAACACATCTTGAGTTACATTCAGTCCGTAAAAATCCTTCTGTGCTATGGATGTCTGACTTTGTGTTTCACAATTCGGGATTTTTTTTTTAACTCCTTAATTTCTCTGGGACCTTCCCAGGCCGAAAAGCTTTAACCATACTGGACGAAACGAATTCAGATTTATAACATGAGGATTGGAGTGAACGCAACACCGTCCAAGGTCATTTTGACCTTCCTTAAAAATGTTGATAACTAGCCTACCTGTAGCCACCAGTGCGGCTGATTTCCCACATCCAAAGAGAGAAATGAGGTCGTTTGAATGACTATTATTCTTTAGATACAGGTAGAGGACCAGACATTAGTCTCACTGAGGGTGCTGGTGAAGATTCATTCAGTAGCTAGTGTCCTTTTATCACAGGAGGATTGGAGCTTTTCTAACTTTCTTTTGTGCCTTTACGCATAACTCACTTTGACTTTATCAATCAATACATCGCGGTATGGGAGCACTTTAGTTCTCCGTGGAAATGCAGTGGCTTTTTTAGAACAATTAAGCAGGTTATTTTAAGAGAGAACAACATGTTTTCCAAAACAATAACTTGGTGGAAACAAATAGCAGGAGTGTTTGGCAGGCATTTTGGATGTACTACAAACTTGTCTCCCTTGTTGCTTGCTTTTATTGATAAACATCACTAATGTGTGTCATGTCTCTGCTCCCTCTCTCCTTCCATCTCTTTTTCCTTTAAATTGTGTAACTTTGGAGGAGAATTATTTTTGTGATAAACTGTTCAAATAATAATATTACAAAGTGGTTTTGGAAAGTCAAACCCCGATTGCGTTTCAGTAACTCATTTTAGTATTTCATCTGTTCCGTAGTTCTTTTCGCCTACTTTCTGATTATAAAACAAAATATTAAATTTATGTCAGGAAAATATTATGAAATTGTTTGAACTGATAAGAGCACATATTCATCCTTTTCAACAAGTTTCCAGTTTGTTTTCTATGTGAGTTTGGATGGAGTGATGTGAAAGATCAATCTTCTAATAATACTACATCATCCTTTATCCGTTTTACCTGTGCACAGACAAGTAACGACAGTGATATTAGCGTCTGGGACGTTCACGTGTATAACCTGAGCTTTAGAAGTGCATTTCTTTTTTGAATTAATTCATTTTCATTTTGAATAAAATGAAATATGGGTGAGTTTTTTTTTTAATTTAAAGACTATTCCTGTTGCAGATAGGATATTCTGACATGAGATGATTTAATATTGCTTTGCAGAGTTTACATTTCTTCAATAGCCCAGATACAGTCATGCGTTGCTTGATGACTGGGATATGTTCTGAGAAATATGTCATTGGGCTCTTTCATCGTTGTGTGAACATCGTAGGGTTTAGGTACACAAACCTAGATAGTATAGCCTACTACACACCTAGGCTCTATGGTATAAGCGTATGGCTTAGGCTACAAATCTGTACAGCATGTTACTATACTGAACACTGTAGGCAATGATAACACAATAGTAGGTATTTGTGTATCTAAACATAGAAAAGTGTGTTACATCATGCTATGACATCACTAGGTGATAGGAATTTCTCAGCGCCATTACAGTCTTTTGGAACAACAGTGGTATATGCAGTCCATTGTTGACCCAAATGCACGTGTGAGCACTGAAATCATTCAGTCCTGGCTTCAAATCCCTACAGGACTTTGGGAAAATTCCTGGGTCTCTTTCTGCCTTCAGTTTGCACATTTGGAAAAATGGGGCTGAGATTAGGACCTTTCTCTTAGGATTTTGTGAAAATTGAAAGAGGTCATGCCTAATAAGCTAAAACTTGTCACCGTGTTTGGTAAATGATAGCTTAATAAACACCAGTTTTTATTTTTATTAATAAGTATTATATCGTGGATTCAAAAGATTTCCAGTGCCTACCACAATCTGTGACACACACTATATACTTAATAAATAGTTGGGGAACAAAAGAATTTTTCAAGTTCACAATTGCAGAAGTAAAGTAGAAACCAAGATAGTAAGTCTGGCAAATCAATAAATATTCCAGTATTGTTAGATATTCTTGGGTGGAAAACTTTTCAATTGGAAGGTGCCAAATAAGTAAAGTCTGCATTTGCCTGGCTGGGTTTCTGATTATTATGAATTTGGATTTGCTATTTTTCTGTTTACAATTGCTTTAAAATATGTGCAGGTTTCCAGTTTAAATCAGAATAAGTAAGATTATCTGCCTTTAAGTCTTCAGACTGTAAATTGGTGATTATAATGCTTGGAATTTATTTCCAGAGAGACTGTCCTGGGGGCAAGTTAATCTTTAATGAGTTGTATTTTTATTAGTAGAGAAATTCTTCTATGCAATGGACCAAAAATTCAGTGAGGTTAAAATATGGGCAATAGGGTAGTAGTCAAAGAAATGAAATACCATTCTTGGATGATCATTAAAACCTAAAAGAGTTGACATACATAAAAACCACTAGACTGAAAATGTTGGGAAATATCATGTTTCATGTTTTTTTTTGTGTGTCTAATAATGACTTTGGAACAGCAAGCAAAGTAGCTGACATTTTTGTTGTATCTAAATGAAGGTTATTAATTTTATTACCTACAGTTTTATAAATGGGAATTTATTTTTGAGTTTAGTTTGGGTTTTTGATGGGTGTGGTCGGTCTTGGAATGAATACCATGGAGAGCAGTTTTAATGATAAATAAAATTCATTTTTAATTTAATGCTGATTTTCAAAATTTAGATTTCATGCTTCACATGAGATAATAGTGTTAATTTATTTTTAAGTCAGTTATATGTGCTTGCCAGAGTATTGAGAAGCAAACACAGGAATCCTATACTAATACTTCTCTTTTTATATTAGAAAACATGTGTGTGTATCATAAAATTAAAAATTACCACATAAAATTTAGAAGCATAGGCATTTTCAAAGTTCTGAATCTCTTGGCATTTCAGCAGAGAAAGTAGGGAGTTTGAACAAGGGGGGAAACGGTCGACTTTCATGAACAGAGATGGATATCGGGTGGGCTTTTATGATACTACTGCTAAAGACTTCAAAAACCATGTTGCGTTTTTACAATGATAGGCAGCAATGATATCATTTGCTGCTTGCTTGAGTAGCAGAGCGAGCCACTAAAAGAGAGATTGTTTTACATCATTGATTAAAAGTACCAGCAGCAATTATGTTATCAAATACAGCAAACTTTAGTGAAGATTGTTTTATGATGCGAATAGATAATTTCTTAGATATTTTTTGTGGGAGCAGGAAGAAATATGAAGCAAAAATAATATGAAAATGGGAGAGTACTGGAAGTGAGGATAAAGAGTGAAGCTTAAATGAATAGAATTTTCTAGCTAATGCTTGATCAAGGCTAATAAACAATAAGAACAAATCAAATAACATTATGAGCTTACTGGTTAAGAGCACAGGGCTCTGAGCCAGATCTAGATTTGAATCTTGGTGTTACCTTTTAATAGGGAGCTTGGGAAAATTCATCACCTGCAATCCTATTTCTCAAAGGGGGTGTTAATAATAGTTCTTATATCCTGAGGTGGTGGTGACAATTAAGGCAAAAAAGGTATATGTAAACCATCACAGCACTGGCCACGTAGGAAGTGCTGAATAAACTGATAACAATATTCCTTGTAAACTGTAATGTATAAAGTGCACAAGGTTATATTGAAAATGAAAACCATGTATATTGGAAAGTGAATTAAATGCTCTTATGATTAATGAACATTCACAGTTATCTAAATATTAATATTGGCCTTCCTGGTAGCTTGCAGTGTATTGAGTGTCTTAGCCCTTTAAATGTGAATATATACTGAATAAAGCTCCATTAGACATGCATCTGGAATCCTAGGTTTTGCCCAGGATAGATAGAGCTTTTAACTCTCTTGAGTTGTCATTGTTCTTGGTTTGAGTGTTTTTCATTCTCTGACCCATCTTGAGCCATTTCCTTCTGATATTTTTCCTAAAGACTAACAGCAAAATCTCTCTTCTGTATGTTGTTCTGAGTTTGAGTCATCAGTGGTGTCTAAAAAGAAGCTTTTGCAAAGAAAATGCTATGCCTGAGTTAACATGTTCTGTTTGCTTGTCTGTAAAATGGGGATAATAACAGCCCTATCTTACAGGGATGATGTGAGCACTGACTGAGAGGATGCGTGTGAAATGCTTAGCCCAGTGCCAGGCACGTGGTGCTTAATAAACATTAGTTTAGCAGTAGCAGCACTGTCCTATATGATGGATGAAGATTTTCATAGAAGAGCATAGAAAACAAATGTTTGGTTTGCCTGGTCATTTTCTTTTTTAATTGCATCATTGGAATCTTTCTCTTTTTTTGCTGGGAGTAGGGGAGTGTTTGATTTTTTAGTGAAAATCATCCGCAAAAAA